AACCTAATCTATAAAAACTGTGTGCAAACTATCTATTTAAAGACTTTTAAACACTCTAGTACAGCATACTATTGTAAATTAATGTTTAACTATGTAGTTAGAGAACAAAAGCCAACTTTCGAAATGCTTTCCAATGCGCATTCAGTAGTATGCAGCTATATTCAGCAGTAATACTGTTGGATTGCATTAGTGTCAGACGCAGCCTCATTATTAAATAACTTTTCTTTCTAAATATTATCTACATTACCACTTCAGTCGTTTCAAGAACCCTCTGCCTAAGTAAAGCTAATGATTAATACAAGAATAGACGTAGCTTATTATAAAATATTAACAAAGAGGTCACAAACTTGAGTTGTCGTCATCATCGGCGAAGGTCACTTGGAAAGAGTGTCCATTATTCAGGATGTCCAGTGAAGTGGAGGGGTCGTACTGCAGTTTAAGCGGTTTCAGTGATTCAGCATAAGATGCTCCAGCGGTTTGAATGTCTATTGGAGACTGGCGAGGTCCATTAGCAATAGGGAAGTTTTCACACCATTTGTCGGGTCCTGCAGTGGAAGGTGATACAGAGGGTAAACAATATGCATCTGGGACAAAAATACATTTACAGGACATTCAATTTGATTTTAAATACCAAATTCTGCACATTTGAGCAGGGCTATAACTAGCGTAGACATCGATCCAATATTTAGATTATATGTATTTTTCAATGGTTTCTTTTAAAAATACAACAGTTGCTGAATATCCCTACATCCTTGCCTTTAAGGCAAAATCAAATAAAAATTATATTATAAATGCCTTTATGTTCAAAATAAGTATGCGTCTGAGACAACATGTACAAAAAAAAGAGAAACTAATGATATCTTTTTAAATATATTTATGTACATTTAAAGTATGCATTTGAATTGCAGTGTCCAAGGTATTATCTACATTTGGGATTAAATAAAAAATCCACAATTATGTGAAGAAGAAGAAAAAAATACCCTTACATCACTGCTTTTAAGAATAATAATAATAATTATATTAAA